GGGGGGGGGGGGGCGGGCAGGATGAGGGAGGAAAGGGGGGTGGACTGACAGCTATGTGGGATGGGTGACAGACAGCAGCCAGTGTGATAGCTAATACGAATACATTACTCCTGGAGTTTTCATCAACCAGTGGGTTGGGGATTGAGAGGCCCATTTTGCAGATTAGAGAACTGAGGCCAGTCAGTTTGGACTGGTTTTAAGTCAGAGCCGTTGGTCTTTAAATTCTGGGCCCCGTGGGCATTGGATTCAAATCCTTGCTGTACCACATTGACTCACCGTGTGGCTTTGGGAAGGTGACGGTGCCTCCCGGCACCTCCGTTTCCCTGCGCTGCAAAATGGGGTTTCATCCCTACCTCACAGGACTGTTGTAAAATCATGCACGGAGATGGCTTAGTCCCGGGCAGACTTGGCACAAGAGGAAATGCCGGCGAGCAGCCTTATCTGTGGGTACTCGTGCCCTGTGTGTGTTCAGAAGCAGTGTTCCATCTGCATAGAATTGCATGAATGGCAGAAGGGAGTGCGTGGAACAGTGAATGGAATAAAAAGGCACTAGCTCACCCATTCACAGAATAGTTACGGAGCATTTTTTCAGGGCCAGGCTTGTTCTCAGCACTGGGCATGGCTCATCGCGGTGAACAAAACAGAGGGCCCACCTCTGTGGAGCTTTCATCTAGCGAGGCAGTCAGTTACCCAGCAAGTGGAGCGTGCGGTTCGCCAGGACGTGCTGAGTGCTGCATGGCGGGTGCGGGGTGAGGTGGGGTAGTGGTCAGGGAGGGCCTCACTGGGAGGGTGACATTGAAATGACGATGTGAAGGAGGCACGAAGGAACCGGGGAAGGACATTCTGAGTAGAGGGAGGCGGGGACAGAAGCCCCGCGGCAGGACCTGGTCGGAGCAGGTCTGGGGGGTGGGGGGAGTCGGTGAGCTCCCGGAGTCAGTGGAGGGGCCGGTCCTGTAGGGGCTGGAAGGCTGTGGAAAGGCTGGGCCTTCAGAGCCTCTCCCCTGGGCTCAGCTGAGCCGTATAACACAGAAATGCTTTGATCTGGTTGTTTTCTCAATTCTCCCAAGAGTGAGAAGCAACTTGGATACGGAGAAAAGAAATTAATTCCTTCCATTCGGTGGATGCCTAAGGGCGTGAGGCTTAGTTCTCTCTGAGCCCCTGGCTGAGAAAGG